GTTTTGTACATGTTGTAGTTCCTGTTTACACAGTTCTCCTTGGTTTTCCTAGTGCGCTTCCGCATATCTGAATTTTCTATGCGCTGTCGGCGGCGCGGCGCGGTTTTCAAATGCTGGGATTCGATCTCTCGAATGGTCGTTCTGAAATGGTACCAGTTGACCCTCCACGTAAAGCTTGTCGACGACTAGTGAAGCCCTTTTGCCCTGTCTTTTGGCAGCTTTGTATTGGGGGTATAATTGCTTACGTCGATCGTTAATTTCTTTCGGGAATTGTTCGTTAATTCCATATGGCTTGCCATTTAAGGATCCAGGGGCTGCTCGCCTGACTCTTTCTCGGTCCTTGTGCAGCACAAATTTGGCAATTATCGGTCGTGGTCGTGTTCCACCCTTCCTACCCATTCTATGCACCCGGTGGAAATCAATTTTGTCTGTGATATTCATCTCGGTCTTAATGAATTCTTTTATCAAATCCTCTGCGTCTTCTTCCTGAGTTTCTGCTATCCCTTCAAATATTAGGTTGTCCCTCATAGACCGTGTCTGTAGATCTAGGTGACGTTCTTTAAGGTCACACAAGTCTGACCGTACTGCCTGGAGTTCTTCACGCATCGCTTCATTTTCTTTCAATGTTGATGTCGACCTTTTGTCTATATCTTTCACTGTCCGTTCGATTTCCTTGACAGCCTTTTGTTGTTCGTCGTACTGCAGTGAGATGTGATTCATGCCCTTCTCAATGTCTTCAACTTTTACTTTCATGTTTTTCAATTCTTTCAGTTCTTGGTTTACATTGCTTACATTACGCTCAAGGTCATTTAACCTTTTATCTATTTGATCCAGGGTATTTAGCTTTGATGACACATATTCTAGCTTGTTACATATCACTGAAAGAGTATCGCGCATATCAATGCTTTGAGGGACAGTGTTCGATTGACTCTGTATTGGCGACATATAGCCTGCAAATTGTCCTTGTGGACTTTGTGGCATATAAGGTTGTAATTGGTTACCTTGAAACTGTATGGTAGGGGACGAGTTTTGAGACGCCCCGTTGATTCCACTGATCATTCCATTGTTAAACACCGGATCCATACCCAGTGTGTTTGCGGAATGTATACGTGGTATAACAATGGCTGCCTGATCTGCGTTCACTCGTATTTTCTGCTCGCTCTCCCCACTAGTGTTCAACGTTTTGTTTTTCCTCTTTTTGGATTTTTTCTTTTCCTTATCTGGTCCCATTTGGCCCCATCACACAACATTAAACAGCATTATGAATATAACGATAAAAAACTGTGAAACTTTTCAAAAATGTACAGACCAAAATTTTCGTGTCTTGTTGGCTTCACGCATGCGCCTATACTAACCAGTAAGTAACTCTCCCTAGGATCATCAAAGGCCTGGGAAACCTGATCCTGCTACAGTTTGTTTAGCACTGACCTGATAACATATAGGACACACAAGAGAGCAGATTTCATGACTCCTGTACAATCATCACTAGACTGTAATAAATGAAGAGTCTTAAGCATCATTACAGGGCTTATCTCACTACTAAAACAAACAGTTTGACAAATCTTATCAGGTTACCCTCTACGAGTATCCTATAGATGAAAGTCATTCTTGTCAACCATAGTCTAAATATTTACTCTATTTATTTGTGGGACATCCCTTTCCTTCTAAAGAATTTATTAAAGGAAAAGACGTAATCAAAGGTCATAAAAATATTTCTAACCTGTACACTTCCGCAAACCCAGCTTACATATCTCAAAGATGTCTAACATGCAGTTTTTTTATTTGAAGAGCTAATTAAATTATAGTCATTCTAATTACATGACAGCATGACATCATTTAAAATTTATAATATGAAAAATATGAAGAAATAATGAAGACAAATCTCACTCATTAAGTGAACACATCCTTAAATTTTGTCATCCAAAAAGCACTACTCTTTTCATATTCCTTCAAATGAAGTTTGTAATAAAAGTTGCTCTTTCAGAAATCCTTTATATTGGCAGAACTACCCCACCCCAAGAAAACTAACTGTGCATTTGTTATACCTGAAAGTCGCTACCTGTAATTAAGCCAATCAAACTCACACCTGGACCAAGACCCACACAAAGTGATCAACAAGAATTCCTCTAAGGACAATTGACTTTTTTAACCCCCTGTTGTTTCCAAACAAATTTCTTTGATAATGAGGGCTTTCTCTGTTACATTTTATAGCTGGGGTGCTACCTCACACTATATATTGAGGCGCTGGGCATGAGAAAGGATAAACAACAGGATAATCCAGCTAATGACTACTATGGCCCCACAAGAGGTTTCTGACACAGTTCTTAAGAGCTAAAGCTATTGGGAATGATCAATAGCCAATCATTTCATTACATTAATAATTACATCACAACACAATGTAGGTCTCTGCATTAAATTAACAAAATGCCCTTCACTTGTTTATAATCCTATGGAATGTGTAAATAACTATTATTAGATTCCTTGTGTTTTATTAAAATGGTAAATAAAGCATGTGGCTTACATGACTTGGAATAGCTAATCACCTATATGGCATCTTAACTTTACTGACATTTACCACAATGGCTTTACATTTGCATGTATATTAAAACTTTTTTCCCAAATCAAGGCTATATAAGAATGTATTAACCTTGATTTTTCTAGCAATTAGCATTATACTGACATTCAAAGACAACTAACAAAACAGTAAATTAGGCAACCCGCTGATAAAATTTTCTCTAAAATGAATGTGTCCAAATTTCACAATGCAAGTTGACCAAGGGGGCTCTTCAACAAAAAAAATCCTTTCCATGAATCCAGCAAGGATAATGACATCCCTTTATGTAACTAGACCTATAAGAGAGTCTTTATCTATTCTCCACTGACAAATGAGGACTGAATACCTTTCTAAAAATGTCTTAGGTTTGTAACTTCCATCTCCGAGCTTTGACCTGTATTTCGCATATGACACAATCCTTCTGGCCATATGTCTGTGTAAATTTCCCCCTTTGAAAATGAAATGATGTGTCTTAAAGAGATGACTAACACCTTTGTAATTTAGAGGTGTACATTGCCGTGTCTATAAAAAATAGTCTTTGTTACCTACAAAACCTGTTCCTCCCATCCAATTTTTTACTGGACACCCACCAACTGTGTCCGTAATATTGAATATCTGAGGTATAACCAAGGATAGCGAAAAGGTGACCAAGTTCATTAACACTTTCCATTTTCAAACTTCCTTTCTTTTTTTGAAACAAACATGTGAAACTAAGACAGGGTATAGCAAGAATTTTCAGGTAACCCCACAAGATCCATTGCATCACAACAATGCATAAAACATGATTCCTCTAATTTTACAACAGCTCGGGGATTTTTAAATTTATACGATGGAACCACAAAATGACATGGTGTGGATGCCTTTGTCAATTTCATATGCAGTCAATGATCTGGTACAGCCGACCTGTTATTTACTTCTTTAACTACCAATTTCCACGACAGTAAAAAAACCATTCATAAAAAACAGGATACTAGAGGTGTGAGAAAGTTAGATTATAAGAGGCACTTCTGAATGTATGTAAGTACCATGTCATCTGAGAAATTGTAAATATACAGCAATTAATTCCTTTGATTTTGTACACTTGTAAAATTGTGGAAAAAAAACTGAACTACCTAAGTAATAAATTACTTCAAAGGGCACTGCAAGTAATAGTTGACGATTTCGCAGCACAGTTAAGGTTACAAAAAGGAGGCGGAGCCTAATTTGTACGGGAAAACTTGACTATTACATCATACACTATATACGTCATACCACATTTCTTTAAAATACCACAAAATGAGTTTATCTGCTAATTTAACCAGTAAGAAATCATCAAACTACATAAAAACTTACTACAGCGTATTTTTTTGTCGTTGGTTAAATCCCACATAACATGTAATAAACAAGTCACTGATCGCAATACACTTGTCAATATGACGTCATTTCTTACAACGTGACGTAGTTTGTATGCAGTGAGAGACAGATCAAGTAATATTTTCTCAGCGAAATATGTATTCTCTAATTAAATAAAATATTATTTAGAGATATTATATAGGCCAATACCTTGAATTTAATGTCTTCTTCACTATTTTATTAATATACTTTCTGTACATTACGTATTTAATTGACACTGCCGTATATTTGTATGCAAGTACATCGGAGGGTAATGTCGGGGTCCTAATAAATCGATCTAGTGCAAGGGCATACACTCTATGGATCAAAGTGAGCTTTTACATTTCAACTATAGAAAGATTGAGGTATCTGAAAAGTGCTGCGATCCTGATGAAATCTTAAAAACAATTTAATTATATCAATACTCCATGCCGCTGGCCAGCAAAAAATATAGCATTCGGTCATACAAGTATAATTTTAACAATGAAATTGCAGAATTTAGACAAGATCGCAGCACTTTTTAGAAACTACAATGCGTGTTGAAAATATTTATATACTAAACTTCGAAATTTAACTTGGTTATGCCCTTGCACTAGTGATATTTATATGTAACATCAATACTTCAAGTCAATGTGCTAAAATCGCGCGACTGCCGCATCACGAGACTAGTCTAAATATAAAATATAATCGTCCTCGATATGTAGTTATTAATCATAATTACAATTATCCGATATAAATAATGTACTAAAAAAAAATCGCCATCCCGATTACGAATACATTTCTAAATACAAAATTTAGTCGATATTTCCATTGCGCACCTTAACTGTACTGCGTTTCTAAATTAAAAGTAAAGTTGCACCTCACTTCACACAGTTTTTTCAAATCAACATTAGGGAAAAAAGTTTATTAAATTTTCTTTGAACAGGCTTAAATTTCTTAAATACAGCTGACAGTGACGTATATCAATTTTTTCCCTTTTCCAACATAAATCTACAAAATTGTTCAATATATCATAATTATTTTTGGTCAAAACATATCTCCTTTTCTATGCACATTGACAATATGTAATCCTTACCTATTCATTTACATTTCTTTATAAAGGAGGTCTGTATTAAAGATCCGACACCAAATCATTTGTCAGACTGAAAGACTGATCATTTCTCCAGGTGTACACTAACATGAGGATAATCACAATATCGCACAAGTCTACACCACTTCAAAATATAAAGCCACCCAATACAAACAATATATTCCTTAATCGGAGCTTCAGGTCACTTTTCCTTATATGGATAAATCTAAGATAATAAATCGGGAATTTTTTTCAATGGACTGTTTCCTTTCTTTTTTAAAACTTGAAGGTGAACAAACTTGTCAGATAAATGAAATCCGAATTAATTCAATTTTTGATCACTTTTAAAGTTTTTCTCCTCCCTGGAGATATTTTCTCCGTTGAATAGGTGTCACCTTTCACACACCAAATCAATCCGGCTGTCCACATGAGCTTGAAAAATCTTGCACTCTGATAGAAAAAATCCTGGTCCAAGAACTCTTACATAGCACTGCTATACCTCTCCATTTCTCTGCAGGACTGCCCAGTACACAGGTCATAAATAGTTTCCACAGCTAAAGCACCTGTAATTTTTGCTATCAAACAAAATACAAAAAAGCACCTCTCTTCTGATGTGTCCTCTATAGTTCCTAAATATCTCTGAAGTTACAGATAAGTCCTCTACTTAGATATGGACCCTATACCTTAGTTCTTCAGTTGACAGTATACGTCCATGTGTATCGGAACAGACATTTAAATACCTGAGACAGAAGAATGTACCTGGTCGTCTCGTAAGTATCAGAGAGAGCACGCTTAACAGCCCATACGCAAGGCCTTACTTGGAGAATAAACAGTCTACTCTTTCTGCTGTATTTAAATCAATGTCGTTATTTTAAGCCACTCTACGGAAAGACATATAAGCCTCATCCTGATGTGCAGTTATGGATCACACAAAAAGAACATTAGAAAGGCGCAATAAAAATGCTCGGATTCTGACGGAGGTGAACATTTCCTATCCAATATCTGTAACGGTGTAACTAATATTACTTTCCTATTAAGTAGTTAAGTATGCTGCGAAAATTGATCCAAATCGGCCTGTGATACTTTACAATGCTTTTAACTTTCCGTCTCGGAACCAAGTAATCAATCAAGACAACTACGATGTAGCCTTCTCTTATATATTATGCAAAAAATATTTATCACTATAAAATTTTGTCACCAGTCATTAAAGTACTGTTTGTTGATTTGCATTAATCAGATGTGTCATGCTATCATAACTTTTTTTATTAATGATACTGGCTTATTTTTTTTTGTTTAAATTTTTAAAACCTTGGCTGGATCAATGATACAATTATTCTGTCATAAACTTCACATTCATGTTAGCAGTCTTTTGAATTCAATTTGTGGCTTATATCAATATTTTGACAGAATTTGTGCCATCTGATAATAAAATATTTGAACCTGCTACATATACACTTGATAATACTCCTCAATGTAAATTAATGACTGCAGACTTTAATCTGCCGGCATCACATTTGTCGTACTCTTAAGACTGGCAGTATTTAGATGTGTTTCTGAATTTGACAATGAAAAGTAAACAATTCCACTTTACTGAATAGAGTCACAACAGAACATGAGAACTGAATAAGAGTGCAGGGGATAGAAGAATTAATTGTGTGATTAATTTTATCCATTAATATAAAGCATCTGCAAGCAATGTTGGGTTGAACAGGACAGGTCTTCTGAGAATTTGTGGTTTTGAGTATTAAAATATCAATAATATATAATAGTATTTTTACAGTATTAATTTTATAATTGCAAGTATCTAATAAATAATTCCTCTTAACCATGAGATGTGTAGCATGTATATGTAAATGGTTCTTATGGATTCAGCAATGAACAATGCATTTTCTGCCTTTATAAATGACCATAATTTCCTAGGAAGACCAAAGCATGTATGAAAAAAATCCCAATATTTCTGCTAGCATTATTATTTTAATCGGAGAATGATCATTCAATGTTTAAAATACAGCGACAAACAGCCTCAGCTTTGTGGAAATTAATGAGACAAGAACACGGACTCAGCCTCAGAAACAAAGAATTCAGATGCATAACAATTTACTATAATCGGTAAATCGCCCTCTTTTGGAGGGAACATCTACGGAACATCAATGAATTACCAGGCACTGCACACTTGTAAATCTGTTAAGTGTTAGAAGTCTAATGATTATAAATTCTTTAGAATGAGAGGTTAATTATCCTTTTTTCAATCATTAGGAAATTGAACATTACATTCAATCAATGGATTATTTAATTTTCTATCAATCTTTTTTGTTTAGTTCTATGACCCCAGTGATATATTGGGTCTTCGCTTTTCATTCACAATTCAACAAAGATTTTACATATAACATTGACATAGCAAATTCCAGCTTTGTTGTGGTAAGTAAAAGCTTAGAAAAATATTGTGAATTCCTTTGATTTGTCTGTTAACAGCAGCTTGCATATTAAGGCAAACAAAAACATTTTCTAACCGTTAATCATCCAGTAAAATCATACAATTTTGTAATCAAATTTCTTGTCAATTACCAATTTTCGATTTTCTTGCATTGTAGTTTCTTTCAATACCCAAAAGGCCCTTTGATACACGATCCTTTAATTTCATGAGGCAACTCATGTGGGAACTGATTATGCATCATTTTTCGTGTTCCAGTAAAACACAACACAGATCATTCCTATCAGAAGCTGTCTCCAATTTGTCAGGTGACATAATCATTGAAGTTAGAAACCAAGCTTCTAAATACTGACAATTCAATAAACAAGTCTATCATTCTCTCCATGTGTTCATGTTTCCCTCATATTCTGATCCAAAATGAAACCTTTCACTTCTCAGAAATTGAGCATGAAAATGGTGGCAGCTAGAGTACATGTATGTGCATCATATAAATACTTTTTCCTAATTTTCTCCACGAGGATATATCTTTGACATAAACAGAGACATGTAAAGACCATACTGGATTCACCCTGGTCATAAAGACACACACAAATCCTTAGATTTAGTGAGCTCATATTAACAGAGGGATCTTTGAACATGAATGTCTATTAACAATTATAATTAAGAATTGTGTGGCTTAACAACGAAAGAGATGCACAAATTCAAACAAAATTAATACTGCATGTGTTTGCATTGATACACTAAGAACCAGAAGTCTCTGTCGAGACTGAAGCTCTACTGGTTTGAACTTATAGCAAAGGAAGAGAAAAGTACTTAAGCAGCTGGGATTTGAAACTTTACAACAGCAATAAATAGAATAATGATCGTTGATAAAGTCTCTTTATGTACTTAGTGTAGTCTACTTGTGCCAAGTTATATTGAAATCAGATCAAAACTGTAGGAGGAGAAGCATTTTGAAACAATTTTACAGATATTTCTATTTTTAGTAACCACGGCAACACCGTTCATCGAAATCAAAAACCGATAAACAGATTTATGTATCTTAGTGTAGTCTACTTGTGCGCCAAGTTATATTGAAATCAGACCAAAACTGTACGAGGAGTAGCATTTTGAAACAATATTACAGATATTTCTATTTTTAGTAACCACGGCAACACCGTTCATCGAAATCAAAAACAGATACACAAATTTATGTATCTTAGTGTAGTCTACTTGTGCGCCAAGTTATACTGAAATCAGACCAAAACTGTAGGAGGAGTAGCATTTTGAAAGAATTTCACAGAAATTTCTATTCTTAGTAACCACAGCAACACCGTTCATCGAAATCAAAAACCGATACACAGAATTATGTATCTTAGTGTATTCTACTTGTGTGCCAAGTTGTACTGAAATCAAACCAAAACTGTAGGAGGAGTAGCATTTTGAAAGAATTTCACAAATTTCTATTTTTAGTAACCACGGCAACACTGTTCATCGAAATCAAAAACCGATACACAGAATTATGTATCTTAGTGTATTCTACTTGTGTGCTAAGTTGTACTGAAATCAGACCAAAACTGTAGGAGGAGTAGCATTTTGAAAGAATTTCACAGTAATTTCTATTTTTAGTAACCATGGCAACACAGTTTATCGAAATCAAAAACCTATACATAGAATTATGTATCTTAGTGCATTCTACTTGTGTGCCAAGTTATACTGAAATCAGATCAAAACTGTAGGAGGAGTAGCATTTTGAAAGAATTTCACAGAAATTTCTATTTTTAGTAACCACGGCAACATCGTTCATCGAAATCAAAAACCGATATATAGAATTATGTATCTTAGTGTATTCTACTTGTGTGCCAAGTTATATTGAAATCAGACCAAAACTGTAGGAGGAGTAGCATTTTGAAAGAATTTCACAGAAATTTCTATTTTTAGTAACCACGGCAACACCGTTCATCGAAATCAAATACCGATATACAGAATTATGTATCTTAGTGTAGTCTACTTGTGTGCCAAGTTATATTGAAATTAGACCAAAACTGTAGCAGGAGTAGCATTTTGAAAAATTGTTTACAGACAGACGGACAGACAGACAGACAGACGGACGGACGCCGGACGCATTACTATCGCATAAGCTCTTCTGGTCTCTGACCAGTAGAGCTAAAAATGGAATGGACACAATAGGATCTATGAGAGCAAGATATTTGGGTCAGTTGGTCAATGTTAAAGGTCAGAATGTAAACTTATAACCAGAAGTCTCTGTCGAGACTGTAGCTCTACTGGTTTGTACTTATAACAAAGGATGAGAAAAGAAGCCATTGCCATCAGACAAAAACTGTAGAAGGTCATAAGTATCATTTTAAAGGAATTTCACAGACATTTCTATTTTTAGTAACAATAGCAACATCGTTTATCGAAATCAAAAACCGATGATCTATTTTATCATGTTTATGTATCTTAGTGTAGTCTACTTGTGTGTTAAGTTATATTAAAATCAGACCAAAACTGTAGGAGGAGTAGCATTTTGAAAGGATTTTCACAGAAAATTCTATTTTTAGTAACCATGGCAACACCATTCATCGAAATCAAAAACCGTTGCACTATTTTATGTGTCTTAGTGTAGTCTACTTGTGTGCCAAGTTATATTGAAATCAGATCAAAACTGCAGAAGGAGTAGCATTTTAAAGAAATTTTACAGAAAATTCTATTTTTAGTAACCATGGCAACACCGTTCATTGAAATCAAAAACCGATGCACTATTTTATGTATCTTAGTGTAGTTGACTTGTGTGCCATGTTTTATTAAAATCAGACCAAAACTGTAGGAGGAGTAGCGTTTTGAAAAATTGTTTACAGACAGACGGATAGACAGACGGACGGACGACGGACACCTTACCATCGCATAAGCTCGTCTGGTCTCTGACCAGTAGAGCTAAAAATCAGTCATAACCATCTGTAGCAGGAAAGTAGAAGACATATAGTTGGACCAGGAATTTCAACCCAGGGCTGCTGCATCACTAGTCAGGTGCTGAGCTACCCAGGCCAATCATTACATATCAAAGATCAACCTTGAAAGGTGAAAAGTCAAGTACATGAAGTGTGCAACATCCTTGATATTTTTTGAAAGGCTTCGCAACAAGTTAAGTTACCAATATTTGTCATCTTCCTTTGCAGTTGACCGAGAATATCTGAAGTAGATTTT